GTTGATGTTAAGTGGCTGGACACGGTGGAACCAAGGTACAGAACATCCTGGTGGGAACCAGAGACAGTTATGTCTCAGAGACTGATGTTGTGCTCTGTGTCTCTGAGAGTCATCAGTGACAGTGAAGCTTAAGCAAAGATGACTTGGTCCTTATCTATGGGAGCTTGCTCCTGCCTGGGGGTGGTTCTTCTGCTTCCTAGACAGGAACATCATATCTGAGAGCTATTCCAAGCATGTGCTGTACACTTTCTGTGAGAGGACTTTAGCCTCCTTTCAGTAATTCCCCCATGAAGTCAGGAGGCTTCTCGAGCTCAGGGTGGAGCTGGGGCCTCCTTAGTGGCTGCCAAGTCACTGCTCACCTTGGTCTGGTACCAGGACTCAGCCTCAGCCCGGCTCCTCTGAGCGATCTCCTCATATTGGGCTTTGACTTCAGCGATGATGCTGTCCAGGTCCAGGTTGCGGTTGTTGTCCATGGACAGCACCACAGAAGTGTCTGAGATGTGGGTTTGCATCTGAGACAGTTCCTGCAGAACACAAAGTCCTAAGGTCATCTTGATCTGGGCTGCTTACCAAGGTGTCCAACTGGGACATAGGCCTCCCCACCCTGCAGAACCCATCTGAGTGAAGGAAAGGGGGTAGAGATACTCACTGCCTCAAAGATGGATCTGAGGAAGTTGATCTCCTCTGTGAGACTGTCTACCTTGGCTTGCAGTTTCACCTTATTCATGTAGGCAGCATCCACATCCTGGGGAAAGAGCAGACAGTTTGGAGTCAGCTGAGCCCTCCTGCCCAGCCCCCATTTTATCACCATGGCAATGGTCTTGTGAGATGGGAGGGGGATGCAGAGTCATGTCTCTCCTTGAGCAGAGAAACTAGAACCCTGATTAATCAGCTCACCTTCTTCAGGGTCACAAACTCATTCTCTGCTGCTGTGCGTTTGTTGATTTCATCTTCATATCTAGGAAAAGAGGGTTGACACACATCTGAGCCAGTGGCTGGTTGAAGCTGAAAGGCAGCCTGGGATCTAACACTTTCCATAGATAGAAAATATCTAAATCCATCTAAATAAATCTTAAAGGTGATTAAATTTTTCATATCATTGCTCTCCCATGTTTATTATACCTCAATATTGGTTCATTTGCTTCTAGCGTTGAATTTTGATAATCAAAATACTCAATGGACAATATAGTGATGGCTCAGTGATCTTGCCCACATCTAGCCCTGGCCACTCATTAGTTTCTTGATGTGAGCGTTGGGATCCTGAGCCCATTCCTCTTTAACCTACTTTTTCTTATTGTCCTCCACCAGGTCCTGCATGCTCCTCAGTTCTGAGTCCAGGCGGCCTCTCTCCCCAAGGATTTCATCCAGCCGCCTCCTGAGGCTGGTCATGTACATCTCGAACAAAGGCTCTAGGCCGTGCCTCACAGTCTTGGTAACCTGCTCCTGGAGCAGGGTCCACTTGGTGTCTAGGACCTTGTTCTGCTGCTCCAGGAAGCGCACCTAGAGGGGAGCAGAGTGTGAAGAAAGAAAAGCTTGCATTTCTTGTTTCCATGTTCTCCTCACTCTTATATGTCACCTGCTGTCCCCTAAACTTTTTCATGTCCTGGGTCTCAGAAGGCAGTTCCAGAGTGAAGTACCCAACCTCATTCTTCTAGGGAAGATGGGCCCATCCTGCAGGGCCCAGGCAAAAAGTTGAAGAGCTGGCTGGAGCTGTGGGTGGCCTCCTGCTGAGGGACATGAAGGCACTCGGGCTGCCACCAGGTGAACACATCTGCCTTCCTGTGCCTCAGCCGTGCTAAAGTGGGGCACAGAGCTTGTCTCTCTCTGCTATAGTAATCATGGAGTCCTTTGTGGATCACCTCTGAATGAGAATCAGGCTCTGCCTGCCAATCCAACTAAGAAAGGGGCCCCCAAATGCAGG